ACTCGGTATTCACTAATGTACTTCAGAAGTTTGTGCTAGTATTTTTTGACGACATTTTGATTTATAGTCGAACGTGGTCGGATCATGTGCGTCATGTCGAGTATGTGTTTCGCGTGCTAAAAAAGCACAAGTTATTGCTGAAAAGGGTTAAGTGTTCTTTTGGAAAACAAGAAGTGGGATATCTCGGGCATGTTATTTCACGAGAGGGGGTCAAAGTTGATCAAGCAAAAATCGAAGCCATTACTAACTGGCCCGAGCCAGCGTCCGTTAAAGCTCTGCGGGGGTTTTTGGGGTTGTCAGGTTACTATCGTAAGTTCATACAAGACTATGGGGTTCTAGCGGCACCGTTGACAACACTTCTCAAGAAAACATGATTTAATTGGAACCAGGATGCAACAAAGGCTTTTCTGACCTTAAAAAAATCTCTTTCAGAATCGCCGGTTTTGGCATTACCTGATTTCACCAGGGTGTTTGTTGTCGACTGCGACGCTTCAGGTAGTGGCATTGGAGCGGTGCTACAACAGGAAGGGCATCCGATAGCTTTCTTTAGCCGCACGTTAGCAGTTCTTCATGTTAAACTTGCGGCATATGAAAGAGAACTTATAGGAGTGGCAAAAGCGGTGATTCATTGGAGGCCATATTTGTGGGGGCGTCGTTTCCTCATACGAACAGATCATTATAGCCTTAAGTATTTACTTGAACAACGCCTTTCAACATCTCCACAAATGCATTGGATCAGTAAACTCTTGGGGTTTGATTTTATGGTGGAGTATCGTCCAGGAATGACTAATAAGGTGGCTGACGCTCTGTCTCGACGCAGTGACAATAAGCCAAAAGATGAGTGCGCCTTACATGCATTAACACGCTCAGACAATGGTATTTTGGCACGAGTTCGCCAAGAGATCCAGAACAATGAGAAGCTAGGAGAACTCCGAGATAGGATCATTCGTGGGGAAGAGTCCAGCATATGGGAAGCTAAGAATGGTCTTATTTTTCGCAAAGGACTAGTTTAATTAGATTCAAACTCAGAGTTGATTCCAGAAGTCGTGGCTGGGTTTCACAATTTTGGCCATGAAGGTGTTCAAATAACTATGGCTCGTATACGCATACATTTTTATTGGAAAGGGTGGAAGAAGACTGTGCAAGAGTTTGTGGGTAATTGTCAAATCTGCCAAAAAAATAAATGGGAAACGCTTCAGCCTGCAGGACTATTGCAACCACTCTCTGTTCCAACAAAGATATGGGCAGACATCTCTATGGATTTTATAGAAGCACTACCAAAAGTTTCGGGAAAAACAGTAATTTTGGTGGTGGTTGATCGTTTTTCAAAGTATAGCCACTTCATTGCCTTAAGTCACCCTTACACAGCTGTATCAGTGGCACAAGCTTTCTTCCGTGACATCGTCAGGTTACATGGGATTCCAGTAACAATTGTGTCCGATAGAGACAAATTTTTCCGCAGCATCTTTTGGCGTGAACTATTTCGACTTATGGGTACTAACCTGTGCTTTACTACAGCCTATCGGCCTCAGTCGGATGGCCAAACAGAGGTGGTTAATCGCACCTTGGAAATGTACCTTCGCTGCATCGCAGGAGATGAGCCAAGAAAATGGCTCACATGGCTTCCGTGGGTTGAGTACTGCTATAACACTTCCTATCACACAAGTCTCCACACAACACCCTTTAAGATGGTATACGGAAGAGAACCACCTCGACTGTTAGACTATGCAGCTGGAAGTTATAAGGTAGAAGAAGTTGATGTGGCGTTGGAAAAGAGAGATGAGTTTTTGGCAGTAGCACGCGAACGGTTGTTGGAAGTTCAAAACAGAATGAAAGCATCATATGATACTCATCATCGGGAAGTAGAATTTCAAGTAGGGGATCTGGTGTGGTTGAAGATACATCCTTACCGTCAGCTTACAGTTGCTCGGAAAGCTTTCTCAAAACTATCACCCAAGTTTTATGGACCATTCGAAGTACTGGCTCGCGTTGGTAACGTTTCTTATCGTCTACGTCTCCCAGAGGGTTCTCAGATTCATGATGTTTTTCATGTCTCGCTTCTTAAGACTCACAAGGGAGACCAACCTGTTTCAAATCCGGCATTACCACCAGTCTTCGATGGTCGTGTATTACCTAAAAACCCTGTTAAACTTCTTCGAGCCCATGTCCATGGTGGTACAAGACAAATTTTAGTCAAATGGACTGAAGATGAATCCGAGAATGCTACTTGGGAGGATGCAGAGAAACTAGTCGAAGCATATCCAGAAATGGAGCTTGAGGACAAGCTCCTTGTCGAGGAGGGGAGTAATGATACACGCTATGGTATTACGTACCAAAGAAAGAAGAAGTAGTTTTCCTTAAAACATTAAGAATGGAGTTTTGGTGTTTTTCCTTTTAAACGTTTAAGTTAATTTCCTTTTATAAGTAAGGCTAGGGATTTGTAATAGTCTTATATAAAGACATCTAACTATCAATAAAGATCTATCTTCCAGCATTAACCTTATTCTCAAGAGAGACTAGGGTTAAAGGAAGCTTTACTTACAAGTTCTCTGTTCTTACTTACTAAAGCTACGGCTCCCGTTACCCGAGCTCAGTCACAGCGACAGGCTCATATCACATTGGTCTATAGATGAATTTTTTTTGCTTTGAGTAGGTTGTAGAGTATGTCCGCAATAGACTTTTAGTTTGTTGATTTCCTTAGTGTTTTGTGTGTGTTTCCATGTCATCTGATAAATTGTATTATTGTCATTCCGGAGGTTGTGGTTGGAGGAGAGAGCCAGACGAGGAAAGATAAATTAATGAAGGTAGTGAGACTAAATCATATTTCCCTGATAATCTAATGCCAATAGGTCATCTCTTTTTGTTTCTGGTTGGTTAGTTCTGCAACTTCTGCAAAGGATGTATTAGCTTCTTCCAAGGCTTTTAAATCTATTTTTGGGCTGTGCTCTCTCTCCTCCTGCAAATTTGGGAAGTATGTGCGAGCTTTGTTTTGAGATGTGCTTCTCCTTTCGTGATATGGCCACACTTGGATGCTGTGGTCCTGTGGATGTTTTTTACCCTTTTTGTTCATTAATGTGGTAGTTATTGGTTTTACGACTTTATTTGATTGGTTTTCTTCTGGTGGGCTAAAAGCTTAGACTGCAAGGGAAATAGCGATATAGTGAAACTTTTCACTTGATTTGTGAGCATGTTTTCATTGCACATACTTTCTTCACTCTTGATTTATGCTTTGCAAGTAGTGGGAAGTAATTGAAGCTTTAATGATTAATGACTAGTAGATGATTTTGCAAAACTGACAATACTGGCTGGCGAGGTCATAGGAAGAAAGTAACATGTGATTATGACTTGTAATAGTTAGGAATGTTTTTGTTCATATCATTTTGGTCGAAAGAGGAATCCATATCTATGTATATCGTTGAAGGGTCTTTTTGTTTGAACCGCCTATTGTTGATTCAGTGTATATACTCTAGTTAGGCCGGGAAAAAAACCGGAACCGAAATATCCAAAACCAGAACTGAACTAAAATCCTTAAATATCTGAACGGTTCTTATATTTATATATCTGAAATAACCGAACCGAGAATCGAACGGGTATCCAAATATATAATAATATTAATTTTATATACATATAATCTAACCAAAAATATATGATTTTAATTTAAAAATTTATTAGAAGTATCCAAAAATAGTTGAAGATAACTAAATAATTATAAAGTATCTGAACTACCTGAAAGTATACGGATAATTTTATTCGGTCTACCTGAAAGTATATGGATAATGTTATCCAAATATCCAAAATAATATGAAATGTCTGAAATTTGTATTTAAATTGTTCTAATTATTAGATATTTTATCCTAAATAACTGATAATTTATCTGAACTACCTAAACCAGAACCGAAACTAAACGAGAACCGAATTTTCTAGATATTTTTTTTTATTCCTAATTTTACTATACGAACCGAAAATAGGTCAAGTAGTAAATGGATCCTCTAACCCCCTACCCGAACTACCCAAAACCTAAAATACTCAAACCGAACCGAACCGATATCCGAAACGCTCAGAACCGATATCCGAAACGCTCAGGCCTAACTCTAGTGATTCATAAGCTTATTCAAAACTTCAAAACGGGGGGGGGGGGAATTAACTCGAAAATCCCAACCTCTAATCCAATCTTTTATTATACTAAACCACAAATCATAACACATGGAATAATATTTTTTAAATTCTGATGTTAATACAAAAAATGTATATTGGATTCTATCATTCTAGTTTTGAGAATCTTGATAACAAAATCCTAATTTTTTCTCAATCATGAACACCACGATCAAAAAGACTTGGTAGATAATGGTCATGATTTAAAAAACTGTTTCATCTTCTATATAACTTTGGATCTATTATTTTTTACCTATTAACTGTTGCTTCCTGTTTGATCTCCTTGCGTTTTCTTATTCTTCATATTCTTCGTCTTTTGAATTAAGATTTTTGACTGATGCAAAACAAAAAATTCCATATAAGTTTATGATTACAGAGCTTTGGAGCTAACACAGATAACAATATCTCCAAAGATAACAAAATATATGATTTGTTTGTTAAGTTATTTGATTCCTATAGTGAACTGAGAATAGGAAGAATACAAATTTGGGAGGGGCTGGAGAGTATTGCAGAGTTTATTGATCGGTTAGAGCTCTGTAACAGAAGAAATAGTGATTTAGTTAACCTTGTCACTTGATTTGTGTTGCAGCGGAAAATCTAACCTAAACATCAAGTAACCAAGATATCAACAGAAGAACAAGAAGGGTTTGAGAAGAAATCTCTTTCTTCTTTTATTAAAATATCAAAAGCTGCATTACAAACCCAAGGGAATTCTATTCATTACTCATAGAATTAAACCCTAAATAAAACACAACAATACTTATGCCCACCCCGAAGTCGTTCGAAAGGAAATTTGATAAAAAATCGAAATGTAGTAGTCTTTCAAAGTTATTTTTATTAATGCCAATCTAAGGGATTGGATTAACAAGCAAGGACATAACACGATCAACGGTCTTAGCTTTGTCTGGGAAACCATGACCATCGCCGTGTTGATACATGCACTGCGACATACGTGCCAGGTTGAGTGCAGCATTCACAAAGGCCCGAGAGAAGGATGAAGAATGTTTCGCTGTTTTTGTTTCGTAATTCATTTCGTTCCAAGTCTCGCTGATCATCTGCTGCACGTGTGCACGTGCCTCTTCCTCTGATGCTCCGGTCTCATGCATATAACATTGGATCGATTTGAGATTATCACCTCTAGCCAATTCATCCTACACGTAAACCCAATCATGATAACTTACATTATTATCCCTAGCTACTTGGATTATTTACTAGCGGAATCATAAACCTAACTGGCTGCCTAGGCTTAAACCAAAACAAATGTCAATTTTATGTCTTGACCAACTCTTACCACTCGTTTGGAGACAACAATGTTTTTTTGTTAATATTAAAATGTAACACAACTCACTGTTAGTAAATGTATTATTTACCGGCGAAGTTCCAAGGTCATTAGCTAAACGGAGAACGGTGGCGGAGCATCGGACGAGGTCTTGTCGATTTTGAGACAAAGTCTCCATGACTTGTGTCGAGATATGCTCAGAGAAAATACAGTAAAGATGGTTCAATGTTACTGGTGCCGAAATTGAAATCCAAGCATTTTGCATGTATTCTTTCACGCTTGGCTTGTATCCGTTTTTGTACCACTTTGCTTCAACCAGGTATGTTTTACATAAATCTGCCCACTAATTTCACAAAAACTTAATAAATTAACTTCTTCCACCAATAAATGAATATTTCAACTCACCGATTTTTTTAGCAAAGGAATGACGTTAATGTGCTTATATTTGAGAATGTCACATCCAACGTTGTTGGTTTCATTGTACAGAATAAGAAAACATGTCCTCATGTACTCGGGAAGCTCATCAAGACGATTTACATCCCACCTGCCATATATATATATATACGCTTTATTGATACAATAATGTAAAGAAAACCATGAAAATTCAAATAATCAAATTCTATCATCACCATATCATTGTTTCTAACAATCAAAACTATAATAGACACTAAGAAAAAAAATTTGAGTAGTAGAGTCCTTACTTATCGACCATGACAGTGAAGAGTTCAAGTTCTTCAAGAGTGCCATAGACATCGTAAATGTCATCGATTGTTGTAATAAGTACGTTACCTATAGTCAGGATCCGTCGTATATATCCAAATTGAGGTTCGGATATTACTCCAACGGTCCAAAAATAGTTCTCAACTATTCTGTCTCTTACAAAAGGAAGTTGAGTAGCCAAACAGGTTTCCTCCCACCAGCTTCATATCATTCAAATAGAGAGAATTAGAAAGAGTTTTTACAATAGAATCAAGGGAGACATGCATAAGCATATATATATATTATTCTTCTAATATTCTAAAGAAATACCTTGAGACGTGTTTGAGTTCTTCTTGATGATAACTTTGTACAATATTGAAATCGATCTTGGCGAATTCAAACAAGTCAACATTCTTGTTATGTTTCTTCTCGTATGCATCTATGTACCATCTCGCTTCTAGCCTTCTCATTCTCCAATGGTACGGCATTTCTAACGCATGGATCGCCCTCTCACGGACCTCAGTGTTGTTGCAAGTTTCTTCACCATCAACAAATTTTCTTATCTTTTCTGTTGCAAAAGGTCTGATGACTCCATGCAGTTTAGTATCCGATTGCGTGGTGAGATACGAAGCTTCGTACAAAGAGATGATACTGTTTATATCGTCACTCTTGCACGTATCATTTTCAACTTTTTCTACTATCACATCAAATATATCTGAAACAAAATGATGTTAGAAAATATGATATTTATATACACAAAAGTTGTCAAATGAAAATAAAAATTCTAACCTTCTGATACATCAAAACCATGTTGTCGAAGAAGACGGAATTCGAGTGCGGTTGCATGTAAATCTTCTTCCGTATCACATTTCCAGACAATCTTATGGTTAAACTCATTTAGAATGTTGTTTATTTCTACCTCGAAATGATACGAAACCCCAAGTTTTTCCAAGTGGTCAATGAGCTCTAATTGCTCGAGACGACTACGCTTTGTGTCAGCATCAAGCAACTTCCTCACTTTTTTCTTCAACAAATCTCTAGTTATCACGTTTTTTTCTTTCTGTATGCATCGTAATATTGTAAATTTGTAATTAATAAATCTTATAAACTATTAAAAAAGGTTAGAAAAGAAAAATCTATGACCTAGTAGCATGGACACATGATGAATACGACTTTGTGTTAGAAGTTAAAGATTTTGTACCGCATATTTATTCTCGATGGAGAGGAGATAACGATGGTCCCAAGGTGAAGGCGAATAGTTACCGGAGCGTCGATGAAGGACATCAACAGAAACATTATCTGACGTCGTTTTGGTAATGGATCTGCATATGAACCTTCGAGGACTTTGAAGGCGAACATTGTGGGTAATGGCATTTTTGTAAATGATAGCTGAACTCATATATAAAGAAGCCATTGGTTTAGAGTATTATTTTGTGCTGTAAGACTATATTACACACATGGGTTTAAAGAGACAAGAGCAATACACCTCTAAGAGCAACATTATTGGTATGACTAATTTGTAGTAGGAGAGGAGGGGAGAGGAGATGGAGCACATGCACCTCTAAGAGCAACATTATTGGTATGACTAATTTGTGAGTCCTTAGCTTATTTTATTACTATTTCTATGTTAAGGACAAAATTAAGGACAATTGCAAAACAATAGATTATTGGTAGGACTTTTGTGAATCCTTAGTAAATTAATTGGGTCAATATGACTAACTTAGGAAGAGCAATAAACACATGTATGATGCATGGATAGCAAACTATTACTGGGGTAGCATGTCATTACACTCATCAGACATTGATACTTTCTCTATCTACATGACAGACTTACTTCATTGTGTATGAACTCCCATGTTATATCATCTTGGACACCAAAGAGCTCTAAAAACTAACCAATCCCAAATAAGAAAAGGTTCACAAGTAGAACTAAAGGAGAAATAACAAACCGTGACAATTCATCCAACTTTCTCCAATAACCAAAAGGAAACACCAGTTTTACTAACAAAGATTCCTATCACAACAAAAGTTCCATATAATCCATTATAGCTTCTGAAAAATCAACTAGCATCAAGAACATGCAATTGATTTTCAGACGGCAAACGACATAATCTCTAAGCAGATGAGGAAGACATACCTTTTCGATTGAAATCAGTGGAGAAGCTTTCGGTGAGACACCGGTGTTGAGGGAGAGAAATACTGAGAGGATTTTGAAATCGAATGAAATGGGTGGGACGATCTTGAACTCTTTCGCCGTCGAGAGAGAGAGAGTCGGGAGAACATGCAATTGATTTTCAGACGGCAAACGACATTTCCCTACACCACTTCTACACCCAATCGCATTAAGCCAGCTGGCACTAAGGACCATCGACAAAACTTCTTAATTAAGGACAATTCACTTCCGTTTCTTTGTAATTTAAGCCTTTTTTATTTAATTTTTGACCCAATATTCCTTAGAAATTAGGCTAAGGACGCCGATAATGTTGGTCTAAAGGTATTATATTACTTAAATCAATTTTATATAGAAATGTTTCAGAAAGAAACGTTTAAAAATAATAATTATAAAAAACTAAAACAACTTTTCTCAACTTTGGGATCTTGGGATAAATCGTGAAGTCAACACTAAACTGATCATTTGGTAACTGTTGGTAAATTATCAAAGTAGGCTCAGTACAGCAGAAAGATGTTAATCTATTT